TGGGTTGATAATGGTTGCATAACTTTGACCTGAGCTTTTCGGTATCGGGAGCCACATCCAGACCTTCAGCCGGCCACGTTTGACTAGCCTGAGGCTACTGCGGATGTGCTGGATCGGTTTGGAAGCGTCGCGTATATCTACGCAATTATGCGGATCTCACTTCGGGCGTCCCTTCGATCGAACTTCCTATCGCTATCAAAGTCGCTTTTAACAATATTCAGTTCCCTGGTTGTCATGCCGAAAAGCTTCGGATAGATGTCAGTGATGATGGAAAGGTCAGCAGTGGCATCCCAAGATTGTATTCTAGATACGGGATGTGGCACCAACGATACCGGGATCTCGTCCCTTTGACGAGCAGCGGGCGGCATGATCTAAAGCAATTGTGCTAACACGATTGCGTCGGACACACAAGACTCAGGCCCTAAGTTGTGCCCAAGACTTTCGGAACAGCGCTTTGATAAATGGCGCACACATAATTCGTGGGGCGGTATTATAACAGACGATCGATATTGCGAATGCGAGAGCGAGTCAGCTGCGAACGCGTATGCCTGTAGTTATGCTTTTGACGGGAGTGGAACTCCACATACCGATGGTAACCTACAGATACCTATAGTTACCTATAACTACATGTAGGGTCCTACCGGGCACCCTTGATCAGACTACGATATATGAACAGGTTCGTGGACCATCGGCCCTGGCGTCCTCGAGTAATTAAAGCCTTCGAGAAGCCTTCCGAAACCATGTTTTTCTTGGATTCTGGTATTGTCATGGTGTAGGACTGTTAAGCATGCTATTTGCGCTCTTGGCCTTGTGCTTAAGATGTGGGGTATGCGACAAACGCAGGGTTACCGGCAATATTCCCCAGGTTTGCCAAGGTGCAATGTCGTAGGTTAGATGATTTACGAAGCCGAACAGCTTCGACAGATCCGCGAAGCCCGTGCCCCACACAGCAGAGTGATGTTCAGTATGGGACGAAAGTCCACTTTTCACAGGTACTGCATAGGAAAGCACCTCGAAGTAGTTGGAAGTTGACGGAGTTTGCTCTGAACGCAGAGTTATTACTTCATCGTTGTTTGAAGCTCAAAAGAGGTAAGCCTCAGAACTTAGCCGTGATCTTCCGGGAGGAGGCTGATTGCGGCAACGAAGCGCAGCGTGGGGAAACGTGGTCGTACGGAACTGAGTCCTGGCTCAGAGCGGGTCGTTATATGCGAAGTTTATATGTTAATATCTAAACATCGGTCGCACAGCTGCGAGAGACTTCTAGGTTTGATCGTGCGTTTGGCTATATCTGGTCAGACTGCAGCACATTCTCAAGAACATTTGCACCCTGTAGCGGTGGGGTGTAGATACACTAGACTTGAATCAGTGTGATCAATAACGTAACGTGTCTTGTGGAGGTCTTAAACGATGAACTATAGAGGTATACGTGATGCTGCAGCTATAGTTGTACTGTCAGAACAGCGAACTCACTAGTAGCCATCAGGCTCCTGAAAGCGCCACGTAATTGTAAGTATACAGAATAATTTGAAGGTGATTTAGGTGAGGGCCTTCAATATGTCTCGGACCGAATAGTAAGCATCGGGGTGATTCAGACTGCGTCTGGTGATATGCCGATGTGTCGAGAGAAAGATTTGTGGCGTGTTTGACAAAGATTGGTGCATCGAGTTTGCAGTGTCCCTGAGATGAGTGTATTGAAGACGCGACATCAGCGCGACGATGGAGCTTGGGCCGCTCGGTTTTCCAGATGACGTTGTCGTACCACTGACCTAACGGCGGCCACTACCACGTGCGCTTTCTTCATCTTCTCCTCAACATCGCTCTTCCAATCTTTCGTACATTCATCAGTCCTAATGCCTGTTTCGTGCGGTTGACTAGATGGCTCTGCCTCCGACATGTCTATGGAGGCTTGTGTGTTCAAAGAGAAGGGCGTACGTGCCAGGACAACAATGGAGTAGGACTGGTCAACCTGCTGCAAACGTCACTTTGTTCTCATACTCCTGTCGATTGCCTTCTTGCTTCTGTGCAGTAGGATGAGTTCACACTGGCGCCGGTACTTGGAATGCGAGTCATGCCGGAGGAGCATCGTGGCCTGTCGATCGAATATGCCATCCTCGTCGAGATCGTCTTGTATTTTTGTCTTCTTAAGCGTGTCTTTCTCTCCCTTTCCTACCAAAGTCTTCCTGGTTCTCTGCACCACACCTCTTCAAGTCTCCGTCATCCTCACATTCCACCTGCTGTTCTCGACGGATCTATCCAGCCCGCCAGACACACTCTCATCTCCGTAGGTCGCACGTCCTAATGTTAAGGGCATATTTCCGCAAAACTAGAAATCGCCAGAACTTCTCTTGTACTTAAATTGACCCTTTCAGGATTTGCGTCTATTGTTCTCAAATCTCCCACCGGACTTTGAGAACGCCACGACGTCTTTTATCCACCAATCGGCTATCTACACGACGACCACGTCAAGCCACCCGTCACCAAAATTAGCATTATCTCTTCGAACTACCTTCTAGAAGAAGGGTGGAATTATGCAGGGACGATCCTCAATGAGCATTGCCGGCGCTTAAAGAGATGTTGGTGGTGCAGGAAGCAGGCTTGCTTGTGGGTTTGCGGGCCGTCGAGATCTACACCACCTTTGATGACGCTATGCGTAAGATATGTACGATGAGATTATGTTGGTGGCAGATGCGCGGACGGGTAGAGGCGAAGATGAAGGATTACAATGGCTTGCAGACTGACTGCAGTCACGGAGATGAAGCGGTTCTTGGTAAAGTGAGCATTGTAAGTAGGGGAATGACCGAAAGCTTAAACAGACGTGTCGAAGAATAGGTGAGAGTTGGCGGGCTCGGCATGCCGACCTTCTGTAGCAGCTAAAGTGGTCTGTAGTTTATTTTCACCGACTGACCTATATTAGGAGGCCTTGTCGCTTCAGAGCCACCGACATTGTTATATCTTATATACATTTCATCTCCGAACCGCTAACGAGGCCCTTCCTAGTCTCAGTCGCAATTTCCAACAAAAAGAAGACCCCAAAATTAAACACAAAGGCAAGGGAAGGAAACTTACTAAGAACAAACCAAATGTTCATGGTGCACAAGACCAGAGCAGAAGAAGCCAAGCATCAAGTAATTGCGGCTTAAGATATGGGGGAATGCCAGTTGCGAGTGCATGAGATCGTCTCTACCAAGCGGCATCATGTAATAAAGGATCGCAGCCTAGGTGGCCATGACATTCGTATTCATGTAATCGAGCAAAGCAACAATGATGGCGATCAAAGAGTCTCCACGGAATCTAGATGCAAGAGACGTATGTCAACACATCATGATAGGACCGGTCAGGAACAGTTCAGTGATGTTATAACATCCGATTGAATTCTAGATAGTGTCCTGCATCCGCAACCACGGCGGATTCTCGTACCCCTGATTTGTTATTCAGGTTTTGTTCATAACCAGGCATATTGATGAGACTAGTCTATCTCATTGGGCTTAGAATCAGATTGTCGATCAAGCGCACAGGTACCTGGCGACCTTCAGCATCCAACTGACCTAAATCCTCGCCGTCTTGCGGATCTTCGACCGGGAGCATTTTTACCGCACCACTGAGAATGGCGCCTCTCGAATCGTCAATCTGATCAATCTCCTCCATGGTGTCAGGGTCTGCAAGACTAATATAGTCAACCTCAAACTTGGCGCGTTTGCTAGGTTCCATGTGCTCCTGCTCGAGCAGTGTCATATTGCCGTGGTCGAATGCAGGCCAGAGGACGTCGTTCCGCAGCCTCATACCATTCTTGTACTGTAGCTCTGCTTTGCGAAGCGCTTGGTTGAGAACGATGCCAACACTGCGACGTCGTGCGCCGAGATAGACATTGCGTGAAGATAGTGCAAGTCCGTCTGATTCCCTGGATGTCGGGATGATGCGCAGGCTCATGTCCAAGTGAAAGTCTTGAATCAGTCGCTTGATAACGCGGGTTTGCTGGACATCTTTCTGCCCAAAGTAGACGCGATCTGGGGCGCAGATGTTGAAGAGCTTCATGCAGACAGTTGCTACGCCGCGGAAGAAAACAGGTCTTGACGCGCCCTCTAATAGATGGCCAAGTGGACGCATCTCAATGAAGCTCCCTACACCTGGTATGCTGCTGTCGGGTGGCAGTGTAGGGTACATGGTCTTTGTGGTTGGTGCGAAGACAGCTGTCACGCGTCCCTGGTTTGCAGTCGCCAGTTCCTGGTTCAAGTTTTCCAGCACTTGCAGGTCCGCCTCCCAGGTCTTCGGGTAGGATGCGAGATCCTCATTCAGTCCGAATTGTGTAGGATTCACGTAGATGGTAACGAAGACATCGGTATTCTCAGCGGCTGCGTGACGCATGAGCGACACATGACCCTCGTGCAGGGCACCCATAGTTGGGACAAGGCCAACTGTACGATTGTCGGAGCGGAGACGTCGGCGGTAGTCTCGTAAAGGCGCGACATCGCGGAAGATGTGCGTTTGGGCTGCGGAGGGCGAGGTATTACGCAGTGATGGGCTCGTGGACAGACACCGAATGCCGTGGCTCGCAGGAACTCGCAATGCACCCAAAAAGCCCCTTGACACGCATCGTCGCGCTATTGGTACTGCGTAGTGTTAGTTGTTTGGTTCAATGGCGTGCGTCGAGGAGCGCACTCACCGGCTGCGTAACGGAGTGATGCCATTGCGGAGAGTTGCGGAGGTGTCGCGGACTGAGCTCTGCCTTAGTTGTGGAGTCGCGCAGAAACGGGGAAGATGCGACGATTTGTCCCTCGCAGCTTGTGAGGGGACAGAGCGCAAAGAGTCAGCGAAAAGGCAGCCATGGTGATCAAGTTGAGAAAGGTCAAGACGACTCGTTTCTGCGCTGAAGGTACCATCATGGGAGGGAACGCCTATCTGAGCCTAGTGCCCCACTAAAAAGATCCCAGGTTCGAGATTTCCCTCTCTTGCGCAACAACACCCCGCCTTATTCACGCCCATACGCGACGACATATCACAAGATGGCCGACGATGGCATGCTCCTCAACTTCTCCATACCAGACAGCGGCATTATCGCGAAACCGACCTTCAAAGGCGGCAACTGGAAGAGCCGGCTCACTGCGAAGAAGGCGGCACAGAACTGGCACACCAAGGCTACAGCGCGACTGAACGGCGAGGCAGTACCCAAGAAGACGGTCGAGAATGCGACAAACGTGAACCGCATAGAACTGGGTCCAAGGAAGGCACGCGTGTCCAAGAGCCCCGAATTTCACGATTCCGGCGATAGGCCCGTAAAGCGAGCGCGTGTGAGCGGAGACTTTAGGCCAAGGACAACCGAGAAGACAGACAATGCCGATTTCAGACCGCAGTCGAACCCGAACCCAAACCCCGCCAAGAGATCAAGTGAACAGCAGAGTGCGCCCAAGGGTGGAAAGCAGGTCATTTCCTCGCTGTTTACCTACAATCCGACATCCAAGACGAAGCCAGAAGCGAACGAACGCCGCGAAGACGATGCGCCTATCGAACCTTCAAACGCCCCACTCAGCAGCGAGCTGGACACCTTTACATCCCTCGGCATGTCCACGACGCTTGCGACGCACCTGTTGAACAAGATGGGGTTGAAGGCGCCCACTGCGATCCAAAAGGCTGCGATAACACAGCTCGTCAAAGACGATTCAGATGCTTTCATACAGGCCGAGACTGGTTCTGGAAAAACACTGGCATACCTCCTACCGATTGTGCAAAGACTCATGGAACTTTCCGCCAACATGAGAAAGCAGAAAGTCGACGACAACGTACAGAGGAATTCCGGTCTCTTTGCCATCATCATGGCACCGACACGCGAGCTGAGCAAGCAAATTGCGACTGTACTAGAGAAGATATTAGGTTGTGCGCATTGGCTTGTAGCCACCACCGTCATTGGTGGTGAGAAGAAAAAATCTGAAAAGGCACGGTTACGCAAGGGCATCAATATCTTGGTCGCGACACCCGGTCGATTGGTCGATCACCTGGAGCACACAGAAGCGTTGGACGTGAGCAATGTCAGATGGCTTGTCCTGGATGAAGGTGATCGCCTGATGGAGCTTGGTTTTGAGCAGGAAATTCAGAAGATTGTCGGGGCATTGAATTTGCGAATGCGCGCAAGAAAAGATGAGAATTCGAGGATACCTGGGCTGCCGGAGAAGCGTACAACAGTGCTCTGTTCCGCGACTATGAAAATGGACGTGGAGAGGCTTGGACAGATAAGTTTGAAAGACGCAGTACACATTCGAGCCGATCCGTCAGAAAAGGGACAGGAAACTGTCGAGGCCAAAGACGATCAATCTTTCTTTGCACCGGCGCAACTCAAGCAGTCCTACGCAGTGGTGGCACCGAAGCTCAGATTGGTATCTTTGATAGCCTACTTGAAGCGGGCTTTTGCACGAAAGGGTTCCGTCATGAAGGCCATCGTCTTCATCTCGTGTGCCGACTCTGTCGACTTCCACTTTGACATGCTCACCAGTGAAATCGAAGGCGTCACCGAAACGAAGAAGAAGGAAAGCACAGATGAAGAGGAGGAGAAGGCTGAGGAGGCAGTTGACGGCGTGGAGAAGAAGCCAAAGAACACCAAAGCGATAGCACAATCAGACCCAACCAAGCTCACAGTAACAGGTGCAGAGTCACCTGTACTCTCTGCAAAGACGCACACAGTAACAGCATACCGTCTCCACGGTTCACTCCAACAATCCGTGCGAACATCGACCCTCGCTCAGTTCACGAAGAACAAGGAGCCGTCTGTCTTGATTGCTACCGACGTCGCATCTCGTGGTCTCGACCTGCCGAACGTCGACTTGGTTATTGAATTTGATCCTGCTTTCGCCAGAGAGGACCATTTGCATCGTATCGGTCGTACGGCGCGTGCGGGTCGCGACGGACGAGCTTGTATCTTCTTGATGCCCGGAACTGAAGAAGGCTACGTCGATATTCTCAAGTCGGACAGGAAAGACACCGAAGGTGGAGTTCACATTTCACGTCAGGACGCCGACGATATCCTCAACCGAGGCTTGGTAACCAGCGGAGTAATGGAGAAGAACGCCTACATGGATAAAGCTACCGACCTACAGCTCGCCGTCGAGCGCTGGGCCCTAGCCTCACCTGCTCGCCTCGAAGCTGCCCGAAGAGCTTTCCAGAGCCACATTCGTGCGTACGCAACTCACGTTGCTGACGAACGTCAATATTTTGACATCAAGTCGCTCCACCTAGGCCATCTGGCCAAGGCCTTCGCACTCCGCGAGCGGCCCTCTGGAATGAAGATTCCAGGACAACGAACAGGTGCCGGACGTAATGACAAGACACCTGCTAGGGTACGTGGTGGTCCGAAGGTGGACCTTGCCAGTCGCAAAGCTGATACTGGTGCGTCGAAGAGGGCGGTTGTGGACTTGGATCTCCCCGAGGGTCAAGACACAGATGAGGCGGCAAAGATGAGGAAGGCGGTTCGTGCGAGGGAGAAGTTTATGCGTCATGCGGGTATGGCGAGCGAGTTCAATCTGGGTTGAACACCTTGCAGATAGCTATATATCCATCTTTCATTGCACACCTTCCCGAGACTGCTTGTGTTCTCAATTATGCACCTATTCCATGTTGAGAGGTTCGATACAGACATGTAGTCTTTGTAGACTTTGGAACCTCCATCTGTCTCATTTGCTACGTCGGTTTCGACAGCTGCCTTATATGCTGTCCGATTAAAGAACGCAAAGTGAGCACGATAGCTGCTGTTCGGTTGTACTGCCATTCATGTTCCCGCGGAGCAATACCTGTCAATGTTGGGGAACGATTGAACTAAGCCTCATTCGCTCGAGCACGCCGTCCGAGGTCCATCGCGAGTCGCAAGGTCATGTGACGTCAGCATCCCCCGGACCCATCATTTAGCATCTGAGGCATGCAATGCAATATCACAACCATATACAAGTGGCTGAACGGAGCAACACAGACAAGGAAGAAATAAAGCCGTGCACATTGTGTTGTTTCCGTGACTTATCTATCTGCAGGGGCTATCACAATGTTCTGGGCGAATTGAGCTCCTTCCCGCCCCCAACTTCCAATTCAGTAATCCCTTCCGAACACATGACCAAGCTTCCAGCCGTACATATTCGTCATGCGATACGTGGAATGGCTACTGACCTTGGGATGCGCCGTAACGGTTTGGGAGCCCAATCACTCCACTGGCCAAGAGGATGAGTTTCGGTATCAGTATTGGAGATATTCTCAAGCTATGCGAGATAGCTGGTAGAGTCTACAAGAACTGTCCGTGTTGCCCCACACCGTAGCTCCCAGCAAGCTAAACTCAAGACAGGTCGCGACTGCTCGGGCGAATACAAAGCTCTTACTTCGCAAGCCCGAGCGCTATCGAACCTACTCGAGGACATACAAGACAAGTATGACAAGATACCCGAGAACAAGCAACAGCAGCTTATCAATGCGTACGAGCCATGTATCGAAGTACTCGAAGAGCTAGATAAGCTTGTCTTGCGTTACAACGGGCTCGACACGAAGAGCAAGCGCGCATGGGACCGCCTCAAGTACGATCCAGAAATCACACGAAACCTACGAGAGCGTCTCATCGCGAGCGTGTCGATGCTTAACAGCTTCTATACGACCTTGATACATGACAGCCAGGTTCTTATATTGGAAGCCCTGGAGAGGTTGGAGAAGGATTACAAAGGCGGTTACCGCGAAGAAAGCATTGCTTCCATCGGGAGGCTCACGTCTGCGGGCATCCTGGATAATGACAAGGATGACGAGGAATCGTGGAGTCAGATTCTCCGCGATCTTGAAGATGTGGGAGTCTCTCAACAGCAGGCTGTGAGCTACCGAGATCTCATTGTAGACTGGCTTCTCAAGGCTGTCAACGAAGGGAGACTCTTGGAAGAGCGGCCAGGTAACGACTTCTTTGAAACTATGCAGCAAGATCTTGGAACAGCTCTTCCTGAATTCGAATTTGAACAACGATTGCATAATTTCGACGTACCAACGATGATCACACCTTCGGACCGAGGCTCACCAGCTGCATCTATAGAGCACACTCCTGTATCAAGTCCACTGATAACACAAAAAGAGTCCGTATACCTGGCTCCTTCAGCCAACCCCCTAGCGTATTCTAGCACCTCCTTGCAAACACCCTCACGGCGCTCTGGATCGGAAGCCTCATCGCTGTATGCAGAGCCACGACCATCGTCTTTGCCTGCTACTCCCGCAGATTCCGTGATGAAACGCATCCCAGTCCCACCTCTAAGCGCCCCGATTCCTGTTGTACCGGCGTACAACCCCCCCATAATAGCGGCTGTGCATCCGACCAGTCCCCCTCCACCTCTGCCTTCAGTTACGAATATAACAGAACCATTTGTTGCACCTCCATCGTACTATGAGAAAGACACAACGATCACAATAGATCTTGAATGGACGGCACACCAGATAGTGGCTGCATGGGCTCAGAATGACTTCATCACGGCAGAGAGGCTCCTCGAAGCCCAACTTACGGCAGTCGAACGTGGACATACATGCGTGTCTGGAGTTCAGCCTGATCGACGCATTATCAGGCATTTACTTGGAGTCTGCGCTTCTTATACCGGAAAGTTCACCAAAGCAAAACGCTTGTTCGAAAGTGTGTTTAATGGAATTTACCTCAATCGCCAGAATCTGGACGATGGTGATATAGCTGCCGCGCGGTGGCTAGGCGACGTATGTCTGCATATCCAGGAGCATACGAACGCCGCTCTCGCGTACAGTGTGGCTTATGAAGGGTCTCTTGGCCGCTTCGGTGTAGCACCCGACCGTACTCAACGGGTGGCTGCCGAAATAAGACTTGTTGACCACTGGCTATGGGTGTTCAAGAGGATCGAGGATTCTCTCAAGCTCAATATGGACCCAACCAATATCTTCGCATCTACAAACGTTGTTGAAAAGAGCAATCTGATGATGTCAGTCAAGAACAATATTTACGAGACGGCCGGATCTGGTAGATATGGTGCAATGTCACCGCATCCAAGTAGGCGTCCGTCATTTACTATAGGGCCTCGGCCAAAGTACGCTCTCACGATTTCAGAAAGGTTTCTCTTGGGACCTCTGGTTTCACTGAGCACATGGCCACTGCCCTGGGATCCTCTTTTCTGTCCTACAGACGCTGTTCAATTGGACCGCTATATGAACACTGTACGACTGGCAAATTACATTGGCAGGCCCTTGTCTGAGCGTGAACTACCAACCAACACACTAGGAGACTCCAAAAAACTACACTTTCTGACCAAAAGAGGTAATCGATGGTTGATAGAAGCTGTGAAACAAGGCCTCCGCGGGATTGGGATCGAGCACGCTGAACACGGATATGAGCCTTCAATTGTATGCTGCCTCAATCAGCAGCGTCAAGGTGTGGTATTCTCTGAAGGTGTTGAAATCTGCTTCAGCAAGCTTCCATTCCGTCATGTATATGGGATCAAGGTCTCGGATGTAAAGTGGGCTACACGAAGGTTCAACGCGGTAACACAAGACTTGGCACAGAGCCTCCGAGACACGACCGACTTCAGGAACATCATCAAGGGTATTATGGAGAGAGCGGAGGCAAAGGCGGCCCCTCCAGGGTCAACGCAAGACATTCAGCACGAGAGTATGGATGTGTATGCACAGGTTCCCCATGTGTCGCCGCTTCTCAAAAGGCCATCGTACGGTTGAGTTGCGGTGGTTGTCTTCTTTCCAGTACCGGATACCGGACAATTTGGGGATTGTAGCCGTCAACAACACGCTCATAACTCTGCTGCTTGATACTGCAGCGTAAGCACCAGCCTGATGTTTTCCGCGAGAGCTTCCTCCACTATATCTTTTCACCTTGGCAGTCGGGTATGGCCAATGCGTTTTTGAAAGGAGAGGTTGGGGGCCTGCCAACGTTCGAGGTTGTGACGTGCCAGGGCTACCCGGACAGCTCTAATGTGTTGTTTTGTTTTCCTTTCTGTGAACCAACCTTGTCGTTGGTTCCCAGCCCCAGGGTAGTCCTGCGAGACTTGGGAAGTGATGGCAGCTATTGGGGCAGCTCAGTGGCACAACCCATAATTTCACGGGCAGCTAGCTGCAGGAACCCATATGCGCACATTTCAAGAAGAAAAGACACATATCTTCACGACTGCACGCCCTCATGCCTGACGAGAACATGAAACGTCTGTTTTCATAGTTTGCATCTAACAACCGAATTGTGTTTTGCCGTGCCAACGCTCTACGGGTAGAACCTTGCCGCAATTTGGCATCCTATGTAACCCCAGGAGAAGCGGCGGGTACTCTTGGCACCAGGCCGAGATTTGCAATGTGGATGGTTCGCGAAATGACTGTCAGCCTAATCCGCCAACGTCGCAAGCTGCCTCCTGAACCAAAGTTCACAGAAATCACCATGTTCGACGATGCGTAGCGCCTAGGAAAGCAGTGGTCGGGCTCGCTCCTGGTAACGGTAGTCTGTATCGATAACCCCGCTTCTACCGTTCTACTGCGTCTTCATCTGCACATGGCCGATGACGAGATCGACCCGCGACGGCGCAAAAATTGTTTAATGAAGGCGCGGTACCTGAGTTAGTGTCGTCTGAGAGAGCGCCTTCTAGCGGGTAAGCTTGCCAAATTTCCGACTAGATGCTCGCTAAAATAGTCTGGTTGTGTTTCATGTTTCAGCGGTACAACCTCACCTGCGCGTTGATTGGCAGAGAGTGCCTGAGGCTGACTGCGTCTTCGGAACCAAGCGTTACTGCTAGGAAACAGAACAGCGGGCTCGAACGCCCTGCGATCTGTTGCAAGGAAGGAAATCCGTAGCGGCGGCAAAGCGGATGCACAACCCAGGGATATCGATGTCTGCAGGAGTCAGGTGTGATGATGATACGGGGGATGTGCACCACTGGTCTAGGCGGAGCTCGTCTGAATCAAAAGCTACGAGCCGCCGCGCTCGAACTGACCTTTCTTCTTCACCTTTGACCACACAAGGATATTCTCTTCAAAACCCAACTTTCCGTCTCTCCTTCCAGGGCGCTTTGCTGCTCATTCCATTCATTCAGTGTCGCTAGCCGGCCTATTCATTCATTCTTCTGCACATTGAGTCCTAGTGACCAACCGTCCTCGTTCGTGTGTCATACTATCACAGATATCCTACCAAAAGATACAACCGCAATTCTTTTACTGCCAACCGCAATCGACCACCCGCCACAATGAAGACTCAATCTATGCTTCTCGCCGCTCTGGCCTCGGCCCCTGCTGCCCTTGCCCACACTGTTTTCACCGATTTCTTCGTCGACGGCGTGCCTCAGGTTTGTTTTGCCAGTCATTCCATACATGGTACATGCTAAGAGGAACCAGGGTGATGGTGTTGCCATCCGCATGAACCCCAATGCTGCGAAAGCCAGCAGTCCCATTGCCAGCCTCGATAGTGACGACATGGCCTGCAGTACGTTTACTTTACACGACTGTTTTAGACGCGATGCTAATGATCACTCTTAGATGTCGGTGGTACCAAGGGAGTCTCCCGCGTTCAGCCTGTCAAGGATGGCGCCCTCCTTACGTTTGAGATCCGTTCGTGGCCCAATGACCCTACCAAGGAGCGTCTTGACCGCGGCCACAAGGGTCCCTGTGCCGTTTACTTGAAGAAGGTCGCAGATGCTAGCACCGACAAGGCTGCTGGTGATGGCTGGTTCAAGATCTTCGACCATGGTTACGACGCGTCTACCGACCGCTGGTGCACTGACGAGATCATTGACAACAATGGTCTATTGAATGTGAACCTCCCCAAGGGCCTTGAGGGAGGTGACTACCTTGCCCGCCCCGAGATCCTTGCTCTCCACGCCGCAAATGACAATGATCCTCAGTTTTACACTGGGTGCGCACAGATCTTCCTTGAGAGCAGCGGAAACCTTGTCCCGGAGAGCACTGTCTCCATCCCTGGCTATGTAAAGTATGGTCAGCCGTCTACCGACTTCGACATCTACAACACTCCCAGCAGCAAGTATGTTGTCCCTGGCCCCAAGGTCGCCAAGCTCACAGCTGGTGGTACGCAAAAAGCGTCGACCACCCAAGCGGATGGGTTGAAGCCCGAGGGCTGCATTATGGAGAACGCAAACTGGTGCGGCAAGGAAGTTTCGTCGTACAACACAGAGAAGGGCTGCTGGGCCTCGGCCCAAGAGTGCTGGGACCAGAGTGATGTGTGCTTCAACACCAGCCCTGCAACTGGCAATGCAGGTTGCAAGATCTGGCAGGACAAGTGCAAGGACATCAACGCTCAATGCACAGCTATGAACTTCAACGGCCCTCCTAACAAGGGCAAGGTTCTGACTCCTGTCAAGAAGAGCATCGATGTTGGCAAGATCATGGCGACTGTAGGCGGTGGTATCGCGGATGCTGCGCCCAAGACGAGCTCTGCGAAGAAGGAGACACCCGCAAAGGCTACTCCTATGCCTGTGGCTGACAAGGTTGTATCTGCTGCGCCCAAGCCTACAGTCGACGACCAGTACGAGAGCCCTCCTATCGTCGAGGCTTCGGCTGCTCCTCCGGCGCCCACAAAGCCCAGCACCCTTTCCAAGGTCCCTGTCTCTACCATCACCGTCGGACCATCGTCCGCGAACGGTCCTGCCCCAACTGAAGTGTCATGCCCCCAGGGATGGAAGTGCGTTACTGTAACGGATGTTGAGGTTGTTACCACGACGGTCTACGTGACTGCTACTGCATGGTAGATGGAGATTTGGGCACGGTGGAAGGAAAAGAGAAGAAAAGGTTACTTTCTGCGACGGCGATCGCGAGCTCACGAGCTCTGTTTTGGGATGAGGTTCGCTTTCCAGCTATGAATGATACATGTTTACTTGTTGCACACTTGAAATCTATTTCTCTCCCTCGATGGTCCGCATCTTGACGCTTCCGTCCTCCATGCCAAAGTAGACGGCGACAGGCTTCTGGCCACCCCGTACGGTCTTGGTCAATTGATCCTGCTCGCGAAGTCGCTGCGCATCGATGCCGTTTAAACCAGAAAAGATGCCAACCTCCAATACACCAGTCAGGCCCTTGATGGCCTTGCTAATCGTGTTGACCTCCCACGTACCGTCTGTTCCATCACCCTTGCCCTTTCCAGCTGCAACGTCGGCAGAAGTGAGCAGGGCGGGGAAGGGCGCATCGATAATGTAAAAGTCCTGGTCCGTTTTCAGGGGTCCCGACTTCTCGAGTAGCGTAGTCCTTAGCTTGGGGCCCGTTGAACCAAGCATCCTAAGCGCAGCAGCGACCTTGAGCTGAGACATTGGCGCAACCTCTATCGGTATCGTTGGCCAGTTGGTCAAAAGGCGATCTTGTCTCTTCCTGTAGTCTGCGACACACACGAACTTTTTGGCCCGCTCGGCGACAAGCTTTTCCTGAAACAGGCATGCACCTCCTCCCTTTATGCAGTTGAGTTCCGAATCGACCTCATCGGCGCCGTCGAAAGCGACGTCGAGCATTACACGATCGGGGAGACTGTCGAAGGAGATGGCGGTTAGGCCGGCGTTGACTACGAGTTGGCGCGACTGGTAGCCCGTGGGCACGAAGAGGATGTTTGGGTTGGTGGAGCGCTCCTTGATAGCCTCGACGACGTATACAATGGTAGTTCCAGAGCCAATTCCAACGTGGGTGGCTGCAGGGTCGAAGTGATCCGCTACTGCTTGGTGAGCAGCAGCGCGCTTTGCGGCCTCGACAGTTGTGTCAGTCATGTTTGTTGCGTGTCTAAGGAGACGAGGTTTAGACGGCTGTATGTGTAATCGAGAATTTGGCAGAGGTCGGAGGGGCAGTCGAGACGTGAGATGACTGATGCCGCGCGCTTGCTGATTTATATTGGCCACCCAGACGTGGTTCAACTTCAACGGCATTAACCGGATTGCAGCTTATTTTGCAGTGCTCAGGATAATCTAATGCTTATGGAGAATCGCGACGAGACGGCACGGGAAGAACAATTTGCTCGTGACGAGATGATTGAGCATCGGCCAAAATGACGATGTGAGCCCCACCAGCACCGATACCCCGCGACAGGGATGCAACACTAGCGCGCGGGCTGGCAGCGCGTTTGGTGCCTGGCAGCTTGAGCTCTCACTGGTCTTGGACAAACACCGACCGTCCTCCCACTTTCAATACACTCTGGTCGCGACAATGGACCATCTTCCGCCTCCAGTCCAGGGTCCGACTGCCAAGGAAAAGAAGTAAGTCTCTTGACGTCCCATCCACTTACTTTCTGCGCGATTGCCGACTGACCAGACCAGATATGACCGTCAACTGCGCCTCTGGGGAGCTACCGGCCAAATCGCACTTGAGAAGTCGCATATCCTGCTCATCAACTCCGGCCCAGGCGTTGTTGGCGTAGAGACGCTCAAGAACCTCGTCCTTCCCTGCATCGGCAACTTCACCATCCAGGATTCCGCCGTTGTGAGCGAAGCGGATCTAGGCGTCAACTTCTTCCTAGAAGACCAGCACCTGGGAGGGTACCGCGCCGAACACACGTGCAATCTTCTCAAGGAGCTCAACCCAGATGTGGATGGTCATTTCATCACAGAGGTACCTCAAAGCATGCCCTCCGCCGCTCACCTGCTGACCCAAGCAGCCCATAGAGTCATGGCTTGCCAAACCTGACGCTCTACGGCCGTATACCCTCATCCTCGCGACTGCACCTATCCGTCCTGAGATCCTCGCTAAGCTCTCCGACCACGCAAGCGCCGCGCTTATCCCGCTGTTCTACGTCCACTCGGTCGGCTTCTACGCCCACTTCTCCGTACACCTGCCTCCTGCCTTCCCCATCGTAGACACACATCCCAGCCCCGAGACTACATCAGATCTCCGGCTATTAAGACCATGGCCAGAGCTTGTACAGTACGCCGAAGAGAAGACGGCCGACTTGGAGAACATGAAGCCAGAAGATCACGGGCATGTCCCATGGATAGCACTACTGCTGCATTTCCTTGAGCGTTGGAAGAAAGACCATGGCGGCGAAGTACCCCAGACATACAAGGAGAAGACCGAGTTCAGAACGTCGGTAGCGCAAGCCGCACACACCAACAACCCAGAAGGTGGCGAAGAGAACTTTGACGAAGCAGTGGCGGCCGTTCTCAAGTCGCTGAACCCACCGCAAGCGAGCAGTTCTGTCAAAGAGATTTTCACGGCGCCAGAGTGTCTTCTGATCCGCGACGACTCCCCAAGTTTCTGGGTCATTGCCAACGCTATCGGTCTATTCTATACTAAATACAACGTCCTCCCAGTTCCTGGTTCTGTACCCGATATGAAGGCGCGCTCAGCAGACTACATTCAGCTGCAGAATGTGTACAAGGCAAAAGCACGAAAGGATCTGGCAGAGGTGGTAGATAGTGTCCGCTTCCTGGAGCGTAATGCTAACCGGAGCACGCAAATAGACGAGAAGGACATTGAGACATTCTGCAAAAACGCAGCACACATCAAACTAGTGCGCGGGCGGCCATTCCACGTCGTACAGGCAGGTGAAAAGATCAAGTGGGGTGATCGTGCCAAGTCAATCGGTAATGAAGTCAACAAACATGCGTTGATCCAACTAACAGTTTATAGCCCAAACGCTCACATTCCCTGACTCACAGATTCCGCTGTACATTGCTTTCCTAGCTTGGGATGAGTTTGTTGCGACACACGATCAAGATGGCTCAGGAGGAGCACCTCGCGTTGCTGGCGAGACCGACCCCGAAACAGACTCAGAAAAGCTCACAGGGATAGCCTTGAAGATTGCGAACGATCTCATCAAAGAAGCAAATGCGTCTATTGAGGAAGAAGAGTTCGACACGATCAAGTCGCAGGTTGGAGAATATGCACAGGAGCTGTAAGTTATCAACGCTATACTTGACACCCCTACTGCATGATACGAAGGAACAGTAGGCTAACAGAACCATAGTGTGCGAGCAGGCGGCGCCGAATTACACAACATCGGTGCCTTGACTGGTGGAATCGTTTCACAGGAGATCATCAAGGTCATTACAGAACAGTATGTTCCTGTCGACAACACATGTGTATTCGATGGGATCAAGAGCAAGAGTACCGTTTTCAAGGTCTGAACAGGTGTGTTGGAAGGCACAATGACAAGGTAACGATCTAGCCCTGGAATGACGAGAGCTTGTTTCTGCCATCGGATAGGGTGGCTGTGCCCTGCAGTAACGAAGAAACGAAATCTAGCATAAGAGGAATTGGCATAGCTGGGCGTTTATGTATCGCTCCCGCTGTGTATGGGGGACGAATCAAGAGATAGCATACATTAGCTAGGGCGCAGCAGTTCACATACCAACAAAGACTAGTAACTAGTACACCCTATCTAGACTGCGCAGAGCGAGAGTGGAAGTAAGGCTGATGCATCATCGATCTTTGTCCTTGTATCTGAGAGTATGCACAGATGCTCTTACTTCAAGAGGTGCTTGTACGAAGTAAGTCTATGTCTCAAAGGCAGTTCGTCAGAAACCTTATTCACTCAACCCAATCTCACTAACATTTGCTCAAACTGGACCTCCAAGTTGGGAGCCGTACAAAAATCCACGTATAGTTCATGAATGTCTGAACGGCGCAAAGTGAACTAACCTACTTTAGCCTTTTCCTCAACTCCCCGATCGCGACCCACTTGCGCTGATGACAAAGCGATCAGAACCCAAGCGCGGTCACGTGGTCGACGTGACGCGATCGAAGCCGGCGCGTCGGAGTCCAGCCCAAGAGGACCCGTCTGTCAACTCTCTGTCATACCAAGTAATTCCTGTCTGCGATAGACCCATGGACTCTTCCTTCGATCTCCCCGACTCCACCGATTGGATCAAGACTTCCCTACCCGCGTTCGAACCGCTCGAGGCTGCGTTGCGCTGCGAAGTCTGCAAGGAATTCTACAACAACCCTGTCATCACGTCGTGCAGTCATACCTTCTGTTCAATATGTATACGAAGATGCATTGCAGCGGACGGGAAGTGTCCAAGCTGCAAGACTGGATGTTCCAGCGACAAACTGGCGCCCAACATTGCCGTCAGAGAAGTGGTGATGCGGTTCCAGGAGGCGAGGCCAAAGGCTATGGAGTTGGCGCGTGCAGACAAAGAAGGAGAGGCTGTAGCAGCGAGTAAGAAGAAGAGGAAACTAGACGATACGGATATGGAAGATGGGGACAACGTCAGGCATACACGGTCGCGACAAACACGAACGAGAAGCCAGCGCAACAACGACAGGAGTGAATCGCCAATGGTCGTCGCTGATAGCGAGGATGATGGCGATGAGGATTTCATGCCAGACGGCATGGCTAGGTGCCCAATGTGCAACAAAGCGATGAAGGCGGAGCTGGTCTACAACCATCTGGACGTATGCACCGGGCCTGAAGCTTCGCAGGGACGCAGTACCCGGTCAAGGTACTGAAAGACAACGCATCGTTGCTAGATCATGCGACTGACCATGGTTTACTTTAGGACTAAAAGCGCCTTTCCACCTGCCTTCCAAATCCGGAAGAAGGACCCCTCGCCTCCGCCTATGAGATTGTCACAGCTCAACTACGCTATGTTGAAGGAGACTGCGCTGCGCAAGAAGTTACAAGAAATTGGCATACCTACCTGGGGTACAAAGGACTTGATGAAGAGGCGACACATCGAATGGCTGAACATCTACAACTCGAATTGCGACGCTGATGAGAGCGTGAGGAAGAGTAAGAAGCAGCTTTTGAGAGAGTTGGATGAGTGGGAGCAGACACTTGGTGGGAAGGCGGGCACTAAAGAGAGCAAAATAATGAAGAAGGATTTCGACGGCAATGGGTATGCGAAGTCACACAAAACCGAATTTGACGACCTAATCGCACGAGCACGGCAGAAGCGAGGCACCCCCAAGACAGACAGTGAAGAGCCTTCTGAGCGAAACACGCCTGCAAAAGAGCAGAACACCGAATCGCATATTTGCCATACGGAACCAGTCAACAGTATCGAAATCTCTAACCATGGATCATCGTCGAACCATGTTCCCTCGGATAGACAAGCATCGCCATCGAATAGCGGCAATCCTTGCGAGAACAGCGAATTAGCGCTTGATGGTATACGAGCGAAAGTTGAAGAAGCCAGAATCACATCCGCCGAAGTACCTGCCTTGACGTCTGAGCGGTCGATAGAGGGCGGAGGAAGGCGTGGCTCGGCGACTATGGATGGCATACAGAATTCTTTAGGAAGTTCAAATCGCAACATGCCCATGGTCGCGCTTCCAGAAGAACCAGTCCGAGATGTGGAGGGAGGCACAGCTGTGCAATAGTAGGTAGTTGCGATGATTGACAACAACAGAGCTAAAGGCCCATCTTTTAAAAGGGCTCTTATCGTTCCAATAATGGTGTCTTTCGCACATAACATCCACACGCATTTGTTAAACAAGACATTTACACTCATTGTGACAAGCTTTAACATTCTCAGCCATGGAGCGACTCAGTGCAGACGGAAGCCTGTCCCACGATTCAGCCATCGGCACACCACAAAAAATGGACTCTTCTCGAGTATCAGACACCGTTCCTTCAGCATTTCCTCCATTAGCAGCACCGTCTACGCCCACGAACAGCAGCGTGCCTTCAGTACCTTCAAACGTATCTTATATCACAGCACCTGAATCACCAACTTCACGTAGTCGACAGACTGTTGAAGAAAACAACGTAGTACACAGAGTCCTCAGTCTACCCAGAGGAAGACGGACACCATCACTAAGGAATGCGCCAGATTTGCGGTGGAATCTATCACAACCACCAAGGCTAAGTTTGGATGAGCCGGGGAGTGTGGTGTCAGAAGACGATGTGCCCGTTGATAGGAGGGAGAACCAAAGAGCGAGGCTTATTCCTTTGGTAGAGGGCCCAAGTCCTGCTGGAGAACGTCCGTGTTCTGACGAGGAGCGTCCGATAACCCCTCTACTTCCCCCGACTCCAACTAGACAGGACGCTGCTCACGTCAACTTCTCCCGCCCCAACCCAGTCAGAATCCGAGACGCATTCGCTGAGTGTCAACCCCACCGTCTTAGTCCCCTCGACGAGTCCACAGACTTGCGTCCACGACGGTACCCGGGAGAAGGCGAAGGCCATCCCGCCTACTCTCCACAGCCATCCTACGGCTCCATTTCCTCTCGGGTTACATACAGCGGTGAAGACGAAGATCCGTCGTTGAGCACAGCGCAGCTTGTCTCCGTGCAGAGGGTGACGCCCGAGGACACGGGGCGAGACGAGGAGGCTATTGCAAACAGGCAGCTTGAGCCTCTCTTCGCGAGAACACCGCCGTTTGAGACACCAGAAGAGGAGATGATGCATTTCTATAGACGGCTGCGGCAGAGGGCCAACAAGCAAACCGCATGGGAACGAAGACATCCTTATCGACATGGGATGAGAAAAGTATGGCGCAAGGTCAAGGATTTCTTTAATTTTTGATTTCGAGGCATACAAAGTGTATCATTAGTTCATTTCTAAAAACTCCGACGCCTTTGTAGACGCCTTGCATACCCCTAGTTTATCAACAGTGGTGCCTATATTTTCCCATCTCTGCTCTATTGATACCAGCTTCGTTCGTCATAAGTAAACCCCTGCATTCCCATACCATTAAAACCAGCTGCGCCAAAACCGTTTAAACTTCGAGTCGGATTGGCATTTCCATTTCCATTTCCATTTGCATTCCCATTCGTGTAACCATTCACCGCGTTTCCACCCACAGGTCCTCCACTCATCTCATTACTCATGACAGGCGCGTTGTTGTTGGCCTGGAACGGACCTGCTGGGCTGGTCGTGTTGGCAAACCAGTTCGCAATGTCATCGATGCCTTGTGGGTTCCAGTTCTCAAAGTCAGTCGCGAGCTGTGTCTGATCGCGGTAGATCCAATCTTGGCCTTCTCGTAGTAACTGGTCCACACCGCCGAAGAGCTGGCTTGGAGAGTTTCCAGCGGTCGTTTGTCCGCCATCGACGGAACGTCGGCCTTGTGTAGACGCCGGTGTTGGTGCATCGAGGGCGGACGATGAGTTTTGTGGTGTGCTGATCTGGTGCTGATTGCGCATGTAAGCCAGGGCGTTTGCGTCGGAGGGAGGTATAGAGTGGGTGCTGGAAGGGCGCGCAGAAAGATCATTGCTTACGGAACTGTTGGTGTTTGCTGTTACTCGGTTGAAGAACTGGGGTGTGGCCATGTTCGTCATATTCATGCTATATGGTTGCAGGCTTGGAGATGCTTGGTCCGCCGGTGATGGATGATGGTTGCTCGTCTGAATGGATGCACGGCGGTTTGCTCTAGGTGTGTTGATCTCGTTCCAGGGACCGTATTTGGCATCGGTCCGGGACAGTACTGTGGCAGCTTCTTCTGGCAACTCGACTTTCCAACGATTGGCCAGAACGCTGAGAATGCCGAGGGTCCGGCGGGCACAGAGCCAGCCTTCAGCTATTTCCTCAAGGTGCTTGACGCCATGTATAATGTCGCGCTTCGCATTCTTCTCCGGTAGATTCAAAAGGTGTATCGTGCATGCCGAGTGTGCGATATATACACAGATGTTGCATATCTGGCGCAAGCCATGCGATCGCTTATATAGTCGAAGTAACTTTGAGATCATGGCAGCAGCTTGTGTACACAGCTTCCTTGGTGATACAGTTGCGGGCAATGGGGAATTGTTCGGGTTGTACTTCAGGAACGGTCGGAAAAGATGGATATACAACAATTGAAAGAACATACTGCAACCATGTTAGTGTGACCCCTGTTGCACAATGCGCAGGGCGTACTTACTGCATGACAAGCATGTGTGGTAAACCACCTTCCTTGGGCTCCAACTCTTTGGGCAACTCTCTTTTCCACGTCTCTAGACGCATATGTATTTCGCTCAGCTTCTTCAGCTCCGCTTGCCTGCCTTTGACCTTGTCCATATCAGTCGGGTTATAGAAGGAGTTCATTAGGTCGCTGGAGATTTCACAAAGCTTAGAGATCTGAAGCGCGACCGCACGAGTCCGACTGGGCTGAGAATGTGCTTGACTGAGACCAGAGTCTGTGACTGCGCTCCACGTTTCCGCATCTTCACTAGGAAAGACTTCGAACTTGGGGACTGTAAGGATCGTGTTGGGCAGTTGTGGTAATCGTCCCATGTAGTTACTCCAGCACTTGTCGAACAGAAAGCAGCCCCAGAAGGTGATCCTTCGCGCGTCTTCTTCATTGTCGTCGATTGTGTCCTTGCTGTGCATACCGAGATTCAGGCCGAGGTCGCATGCCATGCGGAACGACATGCCGCTGTAGACCCATCCCTTTGCTTCTCGCCCGCAACCAGCTTCTCGTACAGACATCAACGCCAGAGCTTGCACGGTTGTCAAAGCTGGCACCTCGTGCAGATCGTCCTCCATGATCAGCCGTTTGGCTTCTTTGAAGAAGTGGTCGCCCGCCGTTGCAGAGTCATCGCGGATAGCTCGGGCTGCAGGCCAGGATGTGAAGTGACAGCCCAGTGCTAGCATGGCGTTGACGAGTAACGGCGAACAGTATTGTGTCTTCCTTGCGGACCCTAGCGGCGGTTTGCCTAGTTGAAACTCTTGTAGGAAGAGGTTTTTGGACAGGGTGGTGAAGAAGCTGTAGTGCCAGCAAAAGTACATGCTAATCAGGTGCTGTACGAGCTCCGGGTCCGAGGTGACAGTGGTCCACGAGCAGAATGGATCCTGGGCTTCCGGGTACTGGTCCTCGGAGTATGTGTCTGGCGACTCGGCCTCTTCGCTGCCTTTGCCCAGGTATATAAGATGTGATGTGCCGCCAATGTATCTCGTCGATCCATCCTCGAGCCGCAGCTCGCCCATCTTTCCGCTCAGCTGGCTCTCAAAGGTGCCCTTGGCCGGGGCCATGATGGGGGTGGTGACTGGGCTGATGGGCTCATCCTCGTCGTCTTCGCCGTTCTCCTTTGCAATGATAGCTTCGGCGACCGAGTCCAAGCTCTCGCAGGTGCGTATTTGCTGTACAAGGTGGGCGACTTCGTCTTCTGGGTAGTTGAGGATGGCCTGGATGAGGGTCTGGAGGGTCGAGTTACGCGTCTTGAGGTTGTCTATGTCTTTCTTGTAGACGCCCTTGCGGCGGTGGTCCGAGTTTGGGTCGTAGATGCATGGCGTGTTATAGACGGCGGCACAAGCTGAGCAAGCCGGAGTGGTTCCGTCGCACTATGTCTTAGATTAGCGACTCTACTGCTGGCAGGCGCGTGGTTCCGAGGGCGCTGGCGATGATCCGGAGAATGCGTGTATAGACCGGAGAAAGGGCATCAGGGCCAATTCCTGTTACCTAAACGTACCTTGGACTTGCGCTTCCTGCACGGAACGCAGGCGGAAGAGATGCACCGCCTCTTCTTGGGGTCGTCGCTTCCCGCATCCCTCTTGCCCCTTCGTCCCTTCTTGGCGGGCGCGTCGGAAGTTGGCTGCGCTTCCGCAGTGTTGTTGTTCTCCATAACAGGTCCTGAAGGTTGGCCGGAGAAGCAAAATGTGGGGGAATGGCGGGGCGCGCTCTGACGGGCCTCGAGCAGCGCGACATTAATCAGCGGCCGCTGGACATGTCAATCGCTCGTGCTTCCGTCCTCTATCTCGCGCGCTCAACATGGCTGGCCAAGGACAGGGAAGCCGGCGCAATCGAATCAGAACGGCTGTCGCTTTGGGCTGGTGAAGAGGGATTGCGCGACCGTCTTGCGTCGTCGAGCTTCCTTGCTATCGCCTGCCGTGTTATTGGTGCAATTCGGCCCTTATCTGGGGACTTGCTCTTAGCCGACGAACGCGTTCGTCCATGACTGCAGCCAGGCGCGATAAAGCAATGATGAAGTTGGCGGGTTGCACTCTTCGATAGGATATTTACCTCAATACAAACGCCCATGGTGGAGCCTGGCACGCCTCCAATGCATTCCCACAACCAGAAGCAAGCCTAAAAAAACCCCAAACTCCTCCAGCCCACCCTAAATCAAGCCCCAAACTCCCAGCTCCACCCAGACATGGCTCGTATCGCAACTTTCCAACCCGTCGCCTAGCAGCCTAGAAGTCGTCGGCATAACCCTCATCGTCTTGATCAGCCCGGAAGCCGCCGCGTGGGTCCGGGTTATCGACCATGATAAACGGCTTGCCATCGGGATCCTCTTCCAGGTTACCAAATAGTCGCATCAGCGAGCGTGTGTCCATCCTGCAGCACCATTAGCCATGTTTGAACAAACTTGGAGCGGAGAATCACTTACTTCTTCATCGTCTTTCCATCGTCCTCCATAACCGAAGCAATCTCATTCTGCTTGCGCTCTTGCATCGCGATGAGGCGCTCATCGACCGTGTTCTTGACACAGAGGCGGCTCATAAATGTCTCCTCGCGCTGGCCGATACGGAAGACGCGACAGAAAGCTTGCTGTTCAGAGGCCGAGTTCCACCAAGGGTCGATCATGATGACCTTGGATGCCATAGTAAGGTTGAGACCCACTGTGATGTAGTTAGCAACTGAGCTGCAGAAGACGTCTGCCATACTCACAACCACCGCAGCGAAGAGAAGCTAACATTATCTTGCAATCCGGATTCTCAGCGAATGAGCTGATGGCCTTATCACGGGCGCCCAGACTCATGCCACCGTAGTACTGGTGAGGCAGATACGTTAGCAAAAGTCGGCAACAATTTGGAGCCCAAAGTTGTGCCTGGAGGTATTCAGGCATTATTTCAGCGTCAAAAGAAGGCATGGAAGTCCATGTCGCCGTCTGATTGGTGCTTACCTGCTCTGTCTGCCAGTTTTCTCCTCTGAAAACGCGTGCCAAGATGCGGATCCTAATGTCTGTTAGCATTTTTATCGAAGAGGAAATGTGGTAGTCGACTCACATTGGCAGGAACTGAGTATAGACAATGATCTTGACGTAAGGGTTCTCTTTCAGCCAGTTCATGATCTGACTCTTGACAGCTTCACATGTAGAGGTACCAAATTAGTGTGTTTTCCATGTACGTTTCGTATAGTCACAACTTACCGATCGTCTTTGCAGATGGTAGAACGTCATCTCCAGCCAAAGCGAGCCAGTCGTCAGCAATATCTTCGCGCTTCTGCCGGTTGCGCATCCGATCCTGCTTCTTCTTGGTGTTGGCTCGTGTGCCTTGCGCTGGTGCATCTGGTATGCCATCGTCGTCGACCTCGCAGGGGTGAATGGCTGTGGGGATCTTACCACACGCTTTGCACGGCGGAAATACATCGACGTTATCGTTCTCAGCCATCTCAACAAGAATTTCTTCATAGCAAGGTTCCCTGCATATCAGATGGCCACAGGATGTCAATTGTGGCTGTCGTGGTTGTTTACCACAGCAGCTGCATTTGGCTTTCTGTTTCGTCTTTTCCCAGCTCTCTCCAGTCTTAAGACTGTTTAAGAAGGGCTTAAAGTTGAACTCCTTGCCGAACTCACCACCCGCGGTGAAGTCTGGATTAATGCCCTCTA